CAGGGTACAGAGACAGGACTCTGAAAGACATGGCACAGAAGCCTCTCCAGCGCTTTTGTCAACCTCAAAAAAGCCTTTTCACCATTCACAATGCCAAGCCTTTAAGGGATGGGTTGTACAAAATGTTTATGAAGGTTCTCAGTCATCCAGGTGGAATTGTCTGGAGGTTGAGTCATGGCAACTGGACTTCTTTTATTTTTAGTTAGAGATGTTTCACGGCTTGTCCAAGCAGCTTCTTCAGTCCTGAAGCCTTCTGAAGAAGCTGCTTGGACAAGTAGCAAAACGTCTCTAACCAAAAAGAAAAGAAGTCCAGTTGCCATGACTCAACCTCCTGGGTTGTACAAAGCACTCGAAAGAGGGGCTTCGCAAAGCATGGTAACACCCATGAAGGACTTCTCTTGGAAAGGTGAAAGCAGATGCACCCTTAGCCAGGCTCACCCAGGTGCTCCAAAGGCCATTCCTGTGGTTTGGGCATGGTGTATAGTGCGTGCCCGCAGACATCACATTTCTGAACACATCCGTAGACAGTTGGGGACACAGACTCACAAACATGCTTGGCAAACGTCTCTTTGTGCAGCCCAGCTGGACTGTACAATGAACCTTCTGGCCAGATTCGCCAGGGACTGCAATCTCTAGAGCCCGAGGAAGCTAACCTGCACCCACGGGAACAATGTGGCTCCTGCCAGAACTGAGCTCCACAACCAAGCCATCCACTCTGAAATCTCCAGCAACACATCCAACACGAGCAAGCGCGTCTCCTTCAGAGTAAGCAGTTTAAAGCTTACGGCCACGGCACATTATCCAAGAGCTCTAAAACCAAGGACTGGCGTTCTGGTGATAAGCCAGAGCTAGCTTGAGCTAGAAGACATCGGGGCGTTTTCCTCCATGCAACTGAAGGACAAAGGAGGGGGAAGCCCACAAAGAATAAGCAAGCCTGGAAGAACGACGCCCAGCACATTCATGTTTAAGAACAAAATACACCACAATGCCTCCAAATTCCTGGTCAATGTACACTGCATGGTTCAACAAGCATGCTACATTACTGAGATGCATTTTGCTGGAAAGGCACGTGTTAAAATATAAAGACTATCAGTTTTGGGCACTGCCTCCTTGGCCTCTCAGTAAAGACGATGTATTGCCCTCCCCCAACTGAAAGATGTGGGCTATTTCTCAACACTCAGCCATTGTGACTAAACTGCACTCAGAAAAATGGGAGCAATTTCAGAAAAACAAAACAGTTTTAACTTGAAGAGAGAAGGAAAGGTAAAGCGACTTACCAAATTCATCACATACGCTCTCATTTTCAATGAGAGTAGGGTGATCAAACGTGTCTCGACAGTAGAGGATTTGGGACCTCTGACTGATGGCTGCGATCCCCCCGAGGGCTAAGACGAACTGGTCTGCTTGCACAGAGGATGGCTTGCCCTGAATCCGTTTCAGCATGGAGCGATACCGGCAGTACTGGGGGTAGCTGAGGATCAGCACGGTTATGTCTTCATCCTCCTCACCTGAGAAAGGAACAGTGACCACAGCTTTACTGATCGTCCCGGACACCTTGTTATCCCGGGCAGAGAAAGCAGGCTCTGGGGAACCCCAGGACAGCTGCTGAAGCAGGGTGCCCAGGCACGCGTCCCAGGAGTGGCAGGGGAGGGAGAACGCTAGCACAGTGCTGTGCATCTTTTTCATTTTTTAGAGCAGGTCTTCTTCTTTTCCCCCACCGCATTCTTTTGTCATATCTTTAACCTCCCTCCCTATACGGCAAAGGAAGCACACCTTTCCTTCTCCGGTAGAAGTCTGCAGACCTGCATTTGCACCTGGCTGCCTAATTTTCCAGAAGACCTCTAGCCAGCCAACTTGCAAGAAGCAAAAGTGATGGATACAATCCAGTTTCTTTCTCTTCAGGAAGGCCCAGAAGAGAAGCCTCAGCGCCCCCAGGGGCCGCAGAGCAGAGAGACCATGGGAGGGGAAAGAGTCCCCACAGGCAGGAAAGCAGGGCATGGGGCAGAGGATCTCTAGCCTGGCATCCCCTCAGCTTTGCAAGGCCACGTAATCCCCTCTCAGAAGAGGAGCAGATGGGAGAATTGGGGCAAAAGGCAACACCACCACCTCATTGTCAACCTTCCCCAAGAGCCTTACTCCAGTATTCATGTGGAAGATGAATTTGCACAGATGCCGTGTTGGAGACATGCACACAATATATATGTATTGATCTTCTTTGGGAGAGATGGTTGAGTTCCTAATTATGGATGAAAGTAGTCTTAAAAGAGAGGGGTCACATTTCTCACCCATCAGAACCAAGGCTGCCGCATTTGGGGCTTGCGTGCGTAATGATGGGCCTTCCCTGTAAAACTGAATGCTCTGCGCAAAACCAAGATAACACAATTGTTTGCCTTTAAAAGAATGTGTCTTTCTAGTCCGTGGGACACTGGGTTGAAACAAAAATCTGAAAGTGGGACTTTTACCAACATTTCTGATTCCCATTCAGTGTGGAAATACTAAAACTTAGAGTTCAGGATTTGCTTCAGTAGTTTAATTAGCAAGTTCTCTGTTGCTGCTGCTGCTGCTGCTGTTAATGCTGTTGTTGTTGTTGATATTATTTAAATCTAGATCATGCCTCTCTGCTCATAGGTGACTTAAGGCTGCTAAAAGCTATCCTGACCATGCAGATTAAAACTGGGAAGCATGCAGCTGATTACTTAAATGACATATAGATACAGGTAGTCCTCACTTAACAACGGTAATTGGGACTGGAATTTCTGTCGCTAAGCAATGTGGTCATAAAGCACAATGTTGCGTGACTGTGCCACTTAGCAATGGAAATTCTGAGACTTCCAGTTGCCATCGTTAAGCAAATCATCGTGGGTTGTTAAGCAAGGACGTCCCATGGTCACCATTTGCAACCTCCTGCTGGCCTCCCCATTGACTTTGCTTGTAGGAAGCCAGCAAAGAAGGTCACAAATGGTGATCGTGTGGCCGCAGGATATTGTGACAGATGTAAGTACAACGACTGGTCGTAAGTACCATTCATAAGTCCAAACGGTCGCTGAACAAATGGTCATTTAGCGAGGACCACTTGTAGTGTGTTTTGGAAGGATTTCAAGTGCCTAATTTGAAATCATCATTGTGGAATTGTGAAGTTTACCACCTTCATCTTTATGTTTATTTATTAGCTAAAATGATGATGACAAAATCTGACCTTTAGCCTGTATACAAGAATTTTTACAGTTTCTTGCTGCAGTTCCATAATTGATTGTGTTAATGAATGCTTGCATACAATCACTTTTTGATGCCAAAGTGCAGCTTTTCTCATCTTTGTGATGTTAACTGATGGCCTTTGAATGTTCCACTTCTGGATTTAGGTGGCTTGTTTCCAAAATCACACGCTAGCTCTGAGAAGACTATGGCCAAGATTCCGTAAGCCAGAAGCTGCTCTCCACAAAACATCTAACGGCTCACGTCGTCACGCAAATTCCCAGAGAGGGCTTTTGTAGAGCTGCCCTTCATGTTCCCAGAAGCCCGAGGCCAGGAGGAGCCCCCTCCAGCCTGCCACAGGGGGCTGCTCCAGGGCTGAGGACAGCAGTGGCCACTGAAGGGGCAGAGAAGTCAGTATACCTCTTGGCCTGTTCCCCAACAGGTGTGACTCACCTGGCGCCTTGCCCCGACTTCATCCGTTATGGCAGCTGCCTCCAGCGCATCACCCTCCCAAAGCGATGGCGATGAAGGGAAGCCTGAGCTGGCAGCGCGTTCAGTGCCGCTTGGGTCGGCTGCCGCCTCCAGGGACAACTTCATGCTGCCTGCTCAGTTTCCCATTCAAGGCCACAAGGCGACTCAGTACTGGTGCTACCCATATTTTAGCCAGTGTGTATGGACGCGTACAGACACATGCACCCCTCGTTTCTGAAGGCAACACCAGTTCTCCCGAAGATACAGTGGTTCTGCCCCATCACCTGCTCTACTTGAGGCGCGTTTCTTTTGCACTAGCTCAATGCACAGGTACCTCTTCATGCCCCCCACCCTTGCCACCAACATCAGACTTCGGCCGTTCCCAGGGGAAGGAATGCTGCTCTGTTTGGATTCAGGAAACATCCCTGCTGGCTGCAGGGTCCTTCAGACAACCCGCGACGGAAGCCAAGAGGGGAAAGACCGGTTCTCCCCAAGACAGAAGTCTGGACTGCAAGGCACAGTCCCACAACCAGATGCTTGCACAAAGGGGAACAGCACCCTTGCGCCCACAACTGAACGTCATCAAGAAGTCCAGATGAGAACATGTCATCGTAATATTTGGTTTTCCATTGGAAGGAAGCTATTTCTTTAATGGTGGAACCCTTAACCGTAGAAGCCTTACTCGATGCCTGAAAGTATAAATCTCCAGAACGATCAGGTCACGGACAGATGGCAATGGAGAAGATCTATCTATGCGCTCGCTAGGTGTTGAAAACAACCTGATGGCACATAATCAATCTGTCAATCAGTCAATCAGTCAGTCAATCAGTCAATCAACAATCAGGTTACTCCCTTAATAAGAACTGAGCCAAACTTTTTCAGTTTTAAACATAGAAAATGAAGAATCACTTTAAGCTAATTCATTTCACCATTTTTGGAATTTCAGTTCAACAGTTACGTTCCACGGCCCACTAAAGCCATTTTAATTGGTTGGTTGTTTTCCCTGGACTGCTGCAAACTGCTATCTTTACTGATACAAATAAATAACGCATAAGCAACCTCTTAATAATGGGGTCCTTGCATATGGATATGAAATGATAGTATTATACTTCAACAATAAAGTTAATTTGATTATTAATCTGAACTCGCCATAGGGGCAAACCACCAAAGGAAGCTCATTTTGAATTTCTATAAAATTCTTGCACTGAAATCAGATCTTTCATGTATGACTCAGCTCTAGCCAGCCTGAAAAAGAAATCCTGCATTTTGAAGACAGAGATCGCAATTGCTGTGAGAATGATGAATTAAGATTTCTAAAAACCCAACACTTTATTCTGCTTACTGCTCTTCAAATTTAAAAAAAAATTAAAATAACCATTGTAGGTTATTGAAATAAAAGTTGAGATTGTCACTTCCCTCTATCAAAAATGTCCTGGGGCTGTGTGGTTCTTGGGGTTGTGTGAAACACAGCATGAGTAGCTGGGATCGGTTTTTCTGTACAATCTGAGGCAGGAGGAGCTGTGATGGTGCAGAAACCAGCAGAATGGGCTGCGTTACCACTGGTAAGAATGCCGTTTTTAGACTTGTTCTCCCTGACTCTTAACTTCCCACAGAAGAAGCAGAAGAGATCAGAACAACACCTTGTTCCACAGGTACCAGTCAGACGTTTTAGCCAAAAGCAGATGGGAAAACCCAAAATTGCTCTAACAAAGAGAATATGGTGATCACAGTCTGAATACTGCACTTAAGCCATAGACCGCCGCCATAGCCACATGCTGCCCCTTCTGTCCGACGACGTATCTCCGAAGCTCCTAATTGAGTCAAAGGATGTCACTGTGGTTTCCAAGGCAGAGATGCAGATGTACATTTTTCTGTACAGCATCTTCGCCCGAGCATTCAGATGGCATAATTCAGGTTTACATGAGGGGAGGTCCTCTGGTGGAAGAGCCCCGTCCTTTGCTCTTGTCCTGCTCTGGAGAAGAATATGAGGGTACGTGGAGAGCTGAACAGGACAGGGGACTCGCCCCTCCCACCCTGTGCATTGCTGAGTCCTGCCCTGACCCCCAGAACAAGCTGGTACGTTCAAACACTGAACTAGGCCATCATATGGCCTGCTTGGCATATGCACACTGCCTATCATTTTGTAAGATGTCGAAGAACGGTGGTGTTCAAAGCCAACCATGGCTTTAGCGTGTGTGTACAATGCAACTATGGATGTAGTGTGAATCCAGGTGTCCCCAGCTGAAGGCAGTCAGCATCTCCATTCCTACTTGCTGTAGCTCAAGAGCAAACTGACCACCCGTCTTTGAGTCTATCCTCGCTCTCAGTCAAATAAATCGTCTCAGATGTTAGCTTGGGAAGAGTTTCTGGTCCAGCCCTATTTTCTCAGAAATGTGAAGCAAAGGCCATTTGGTCAAAGGAAGCTCTTGAAACCTTTTTGGCTTCCATGTCTGTCCTCCCCATCAGTTGCAGGTTCCTAAAGACAACATTTGCAGGGCAGGTCTGTTGCACCTTTAATCATAATGTTGTAACCAAGTCTTTGCACAAATCCTGCTGTCTTCAATCATAGGTTAAGACTACATTTTTCTGATATACCAGGATGTGGTCAAGCTGCATGTGTGTTTATGTGCGTCTGTGTTTTGGTATTGTTTGAGGATTGTTGCTTTGTTTTTGCCAAGGTCTCTCTCTCTCTCTTGTAACCATTTTATAAACCATGCATTTCCAGTAAAGTACATTACTAAAATGACTGTAGCACTACACACTACCTTGTGGCACACACATGATATTTTAAAGCCAACTCATCACTGTGGCTGTATTTGTTACCCTGATCTTCTACTCTCTTTACATTTACTAGATTTTAACCCGAAGCTGCGAAAGCAATAACCCAAAGAACAGGCAATCTGAGTTCAGTAAAAGCTCTGCATGGCGTTCACTCCCCCCCCCCGTACACCTTTTGCAAAAGTCCAACAGAACATTCCAAGAAGGACGAAGAGGAAAAAAGCATTACCGTTTGCTTAAGCAAAGACAAACAAACGATTCCTGGAACAAATATATTATTTTCACCACACCAGTGCGAGAAAAGAAATCAAAGGTCTCCCTATCCACCTCCCCCACCCCCATTCCCAAACGGGGAGGAGAAAAGCCTTTGATTTCTTTCAGCAGAACTTAGTAAATGTTACTATGGTTATATGTTAAAATTATAGCACTGTGTCAAAATCAAACATTTGGAGATAATCAGCTTTGGGCACAAGCACAATTCTCACTTTCTCATTTTCTCTGCTGAAAGAGAGGTGCCCAGTCAGTTGTCAGCTACCTCTCCTTGGGGTGTAATCACTGGATTAGCTCCCTGCTCACTCGGTTGGGCAGCGGGGCTTAGCAAGCAGCCCTGACATCCCACCAGGAGCTGCCTTCTCAGAACCCCCAAGGGCAGGGGGTTATTCTTCGGATAACGCTGCTCCCCCTTTGAGCCAATCCACACAACTCTGACCACCTGCTCTGGTGACTCCTGCTGAAATCTGGTGTGGGAAGGTGGGCCATCCCATCATCCAATCCATTTGGGGAATGATTGAAATGGCGCAATAAGCCTTTATCTGGGTTCACACCATGACCCCTTCTTCAAACAGCCATTTATTAAGTGCCCAAACCAGGGACAATCCTCTCGCGATGGACTATCGGCCGGACATGGCCCTGGAACCATACAGGATACCAGGACGGGGCAGACCCAGAGCTTCTCCACGCTTGACAAGCCCTGGAACTGGAGCTGGCGCGTAACCGAACTGGACCCGATGGTGAGGCCGTGTGGAAGAGCAGAAGCGGCAAGCTGTTTGCCTTTTCTGTCTAGTCCAAACAATCTATGAGGGAAAACTGAAAAGAGGGTACGCGTGGCTTCCTCTGGGTTGCCTGGCAATCTGGATACATGGACAACCACTTTTCTCGATTTCATTACAGATTCGCTATGAGAAGACAATTGTCTACCCTGGTCCCCTCTGGAAGCAGAAACTAAATTTTCAGGTCAAAGTCCAATCCTTACGATTAAGGCGCACACTGGCTTTTTCAAAGCAGCACAGAGCAATCCCCCCCCCACTTACACACACACACACACACATACACACACACGGAGAACATGGCCCACCCTTTCAAGATCAAAAACTCTTTCAATCAAATAGAGAAACACATAAAAGTGCCTTGTTCTGCTTGTGTTCAGAAACACCACACTCAAATGATTATTGCTAACCACCAAAATACACTTTTAACATCAGCAAGCTTTTTCCCTTTTTAAAAACACACACAAAAAACAATCTTCGCACCAGGATTTTATAGAGCTTGATGGAAAAATATGCATGTTCCTTCCTGTACCTAATTACCCCAGCTGCAGAAATCTGCCAAGAATTCTGCCCTTTCGTTCTTTTAATCGTATTAGTACAAATGCATTCCAATGCCAGTAGAAACACTTTCTTGTTTAACTGATTCCAAATCTGTATTAGAAGAACTATTTTTGAAACATCACCTTTCCTTTTCTGAGAAGAAATCATAGAGGCACATTCTTGCTTTCTGATCATGTTCATGGGTTTCTCTCTCTGTGTTTATTGTTTTCACTTATATTATTTCCTTCTCTTTCTGGAGGGACCGCACACACGAAAGTGTGGAAGGGTGAAGGGCTGGTGGCAGCCCACTGACTTTGCGTGTAGAAGTTCTCAAACTTTTCTAGGTGGGTCTGCAAGAAACTCTTGTGTGAAATATTGGAAAGCAGTTAATGCAAACAAGATGGAGCTGGAGAACTCATTAGAGCAGCTTCCTCTGCTTCTGTTCTTCCAAGTCTTCTGGGAGTCTCTTCTTTCCGCTAGTGGGACATCACCTGTCAACTTCACCGCTTTACAGAGAAGTTATTTACCTAACACTTCATGAATGGCTTAACATTAATTAGTGCAGCACTCTTCTAGATCTAAAGAGTGTATAGTCTAAGACTGATTTAAAGCACCTCAGTTCTAGAGGAGGTTTGCATGATCTTTTGATGTTTTACTGTGTATTTCTCTAAGCTTTGTGTTGGCCTGATATCATACTAGCAACCAAACTAGAACAGCTTCCAATACTTGGCACTCCTCCAGCCTTCAGAGATACTGATAATTACACTGATGTTTCCATGTCATTGTTATTCTGCTGCAAGACACAATTCCAGCTTCTAATTAGGCACTTCCCATATTCTGTCCATTCATTTTTTGAAAATGACTTTTAAAAAAAAACACAGAGGAATGTAAGCTCGTGAAGAACCTAGTAGAACAATGTAATGCAGATAAGAAAACTTACATCTGTTTCTATCACTACCAACATTATCGTGTGAAGCAAGAATGTGGGGGGGGGGGAGTATGAATATAATTTCTCAGAAGGTAATTTTCCTTTCAGCCTAAGTACTCTTATTCATCGCTCAGTTACTCAATGATTTCCTGTTCTAATTACACGACATTATACAGAAAGACATTTGTAGAAAGAAAATGTGTCTAAATCTAAGTGTCTGAATTGGTTACCAGTGCTTAACATTCCAAAATTGTGCGTCAACTTTATCAGTCCTCTGATTCCAGCTTTGCATGATTATTCTACTTGAACTCTCCCCCAAGGCAGTTAAATTAGCACAAATTTATACATTAAGGAGGGAAATACACATTTGCAGCCAAACATACAGCTAAATACCTGGATAAGAAGAGAGCTGTATCTTCCCCTTTTGCTCCTACTTTTGTTGGTGGTTAAACTGGAAACAAGTCAAGACAAATGGAAAATATTAAAAAGAAAAACACTTTTTTTTTTTTTTTTTAGGAAAGGCACAAGGAAAAGATGGAGGGAGGGAAGGAGAGAAAGTGAAAGATGAAAAACAGAAGGAAAATGGAAAGAGACTGCATAAAATGCAAAGGAATGACTGCTTCCATTATTTTGTAAAAGCAAAACAAACACAGCATTATCAGTTTTGTGTTGTTATTGCACTGCTGTGGTTATTTTGAGAAATCATAGGCTCTTAAATTAGCCCTGAAGCCACACCCTTGAAGATTTGATACAGCAATCAACAGAAGTGGGCTGTGAATGGCCAAGAACATACTGTAGATGTACACATGGCAGAGAATCATTGGTTAAAAGATACTTTAACATAATGGTAATGATCTCTCAGTGTATTAATTTAAATGGATTATAAGAAAACAGAATCACAATTCACTGTAATGTGCAAACAGAGATATTTTAAGAAAGATGTGCATACTGTACTAGGGACCACAGGATCTAAACTGGCATCTTCTGGAGACAAGGCTGACCCTTAACCTGGTGAAACATTCTGCTGCCTGTGTACACTCAACAAGTGTGCTTTCAGCAGTGAAAAGGAAAGTGCAACACTGCTGGCCAGTAAAAAGCTTCTGGATTAGTCAGGTCTGGAGTTTGGCCACCTGCCTTTCTCTGGGTAATCACCTTACAATTCTTCAGCTTCTCCAAGACACTCAGATCAGAGCACCTTCCAAGATCCCGAGCAGAAGAAAGAACACATTTTCAGGTCTGGACATGGGCTTGGTTGGTTACCTAGGGGCGTAGGAGCCACCACGGAGAAGAGGCATCAGTTGGTCTCTTTGCAAACTGTTCTGTGTCAAGAGCCCCGCACAAAGTGAGTCCATGAAAACCTAATGAAAATGTTCAAAGACGTTTCTGTTGATGGCAGAAAACAGGATCAAACTCCCTTAAATGACAGACTTTCCTCCGGAAATTCCTTCTTTAACACTTTGTCCTTGGACAATCATCCAGCTGTCTCAATCTGATGCACAATCATGCACATGGGGATCTGTTTTCCTTTCCTTTCAATACCAACATGTCTCATCCCTCACGAGACTCAACTTTCCTTCATTTACCCTTCCCTTATCTCACCAGCCTCCTGTATGCGCCCCACAGCTTCCACTCAGAGCTGCCTGTAGACTTTGGTTGATGGTGCCTGTTTCACAAGCCATCACTCGCTACAGTAGCAGAGCTGTGATTAAACCAGCCTGTATGACTTTTATTCTCACTCGCGGGTACAGGAAAGTATGCCAAAATAAATCTACATTTGTTTCTGCCTCGGTTCCCTCCAAGTTCTGTTTTGGATCTCATTTACCTTAATTAGCATTATTTGAACTATTGCCATAATCCTACAGAAGTTTAACTACGATTGCCCTCTGATGTCCACCAGCCCACCAAGAACACAGGACATTCCTGATTTTTTGCCCATGGCCAAGCCATCGAGGATATTACCTTTGAATGGCAAGCCTAAATGAAGCCTTCCCTCAGGAAGAGCAGCCCTGGAACAATCTACACAAATTAGTATTCCTATCCATGTTGTATCCTGGGGTCAAACATAAAAATCAGGACGACGGAGTATCCACCCGTTGCACGCAAGCAAATGTGCAGACTTCGGCAGGCCGAAGAATCTGGCATTGTGAGCAGCTCAGTGTTTGCTCTGCGCAGGTGGGCTCTAGTTTCGCGGCTGGAGAGACGGGGTTCAAGACACGCCTAGAGAAACACCCGAAGGCAGGCGCGGGGACCACTGAACTCCTAGCAACTGGAAAGGCCGGATAAGAAGTGGCGTCTTGGAGCACCCAGGATCAGTGGGAGCGCACAACCCGTGCACCAAAGGAAATGTGCAAGTAAAATGAATGCGTTTAAATATATACTAATAGATCAAAACCCTGAATTGGCACAAATCATAAATTCATAGTGTACAATTAAGGCGGTCGGGTGCACAAAATCTGGCTATTAATGAAAACAGTTCTAGCAACTAATATTGTTTACAAACACTCCCCTTATGTAAAAATCTTGAGGATATAGATTTAATGAGTCACCCTACATTCACTCTGTATAAAAAAGTTACAAAAAGGGCCAATCTTTGTGTCCAATTTT